TGAGGGAGCACTCGATCCCCTCCTCCAGATCGGTGATAAAGATATTAACCAGAACTGGCCCAGATACTGAGCCCCGGGGGACACCATTTGTGACCAGCCACCAACTGGATTGACCTCCATTCGCCACCACTCTTTGGGCCCAGTCATCTGGCCAGTTTTTTACCCAGCAACTGGGCCAGTCAAAACACAAACAGAAGGGGAGGGATGTGTAGGAAAGGCGTGGAGAGCCAAATGAGAGTGGTGTTGTGCGGCTTATGGGGTTCAGGGCACGTTATGCCCTCTGCCAAAGTGGCGAGATAGAAAAGATCAGTGGGGAGACGAGGTTTATCAGTTAGGAGACGCTGCAGAGAGGGGACTCCTGTTTCAGAGGTGTGATGAGGGAAGGGGTCAAAGAAAAAAACATTGGTGGAACTCTTCAAAACTATGACTGGTTTTGTAGAAGTGCAGTTGGGGACTGCTGTTCCTTATTTCTCATTATGCAGTACCTAAGGGGTGTTCAGCAGAGTCAGCAGGCAGGAGGTGATGCCTCTTTACCTAAACAAACTATTGCCAGTTGTGATCCTGCACAGTACACAGGTGAAGTTGTGGAACTGCCTGCTGCAGGGCAGCATTTTGGAGATTAAAATTTCCTGAAGAACTAGCCGCTGGGACAGGGCAGGGACAGGAGTAGGTTGCTCGTGTTACCTTTCCCTAGTTCATTGCAGTCTGCTGGTGGACAGAGGTGAACCCCTGATTTGGCTCTGTATGGCAGATAGAATAGCAGCTTCTCTGAAAGGCTTTTGGTTTTATTGAGGTATGTTGCTGCTCGTTCTGCAGTGGGTTTAATTCTTAGTATGGTTTTCATAAATTATATGATGGCTTTTGTTCTGAACTGCTCTGAATCGGACTGAAACTATCGTGGGCTTGTTAGAGCGCTGTGTTTCCCTCCACCTCAGGGGTACCAGACCAACTGGGAGGATCTGTCCCCGACTGTGTCTGGTCAGTTCATCCGCCCTGCAGTTGGGCAGCGAGGCTGGCAGTCACCAGCCTCCTTGGGGGGACGGAAAACAGGCCGTTAGAAACAAACTGCGGTGAGACTGACGTGAGACTGACCTTGAGGCCCACCTTGCTGGAAAAGCCAACCCAGCAGAAAGCAGCCAGCCCTCCCAGCAGCCCCGCTTCAGAAACGGCCTGCGGTTGGCCCAGGCCCACCTACCCGGGGGCTGTTTTCGGCAGCACGGCGGGCCCTAGGGCCTGGCTGCAGCACCGACCGCTCGCTGGACGCGGTTCCCAAGCCGTAGCTCTGGAAGAGGAGTGCTGTTCCGTGAGCTGCTCCCCCCTGTTGGGGACGGTCAGAGATAACAGTGCTGAAAGGGTTTATCCGTGGATGCAAGGAATAGCAGTATGTGAAAGTTGTACGTGGGTCCAAATGTTGCTTTTCGTGTAAATGAAAGGTTAATTTTGCGTTTTCTTGGAGAACAGACTTGAGGGGTCGTGTATTTGTCTATACGACCTCAGATTTAACAAATCCAAAAATGCATTTTCTCCTCAGGAACAAGCCAAACAGTTACGGAAGAGGAACTGGGAAGCTTTGAAGAACATCCTGGACAACATGGCTAATGTCACTTACTGTACTACGTGGTCAGAGGCTCAGCAGTATCTGATGGACAATCCTACGTTTGCAGAAGACGAGGAACTTCAGAGTATGTAAAAAGTCTTAGGCGTTTCTTTTGGAAGAGGGGATGGATTTGTCTGCAGCAGCGAGGACTCCTGGCTGGGGATGGCTTGCTCGTGCCCAGTCCAGAGCCGCTGCCACGGCTACTGGGCAGCCTCTGCCGAGGACCCTGTCTTGTTTGGTCCCTAGGGAGCAGCTGTCAGCCTCAGCAATCCTTGCTGACCAGTCTTGGTGAGAAAGCGAAGGAGAACCTTCCTCGTGGGGTTTGAACTGCCTTGGTAGTTGTCAGCCTTAGAAATTTGAGGTGTTACTTGACAACATAACCTGTCTTGCAAACAGTTAGACTGCCTTCTGCTGGAGTGAGTGAGGTCCTGCTGTGCTTGCTGTCCTAGGAGAGTAATTGGTTTTACTCTTCTAGAGTAAGAAGGAAGTTTTTCCATTCTGAGCATATTTTTCTTATAAATGAGTCACCGATCTGGTGTTTAGGAGCAGCGTACCCATTTACACCACTGCCAGAGCTACTCGGTGTTTTTAAGATACTTGTGGTAACGCGGGGAGATGCCCAAGTGCTCGTCCACAATACTTCTCCCTCGAGGCTTCGGCGCCCTGAGCCTGCGGTGATAACTTATCCAGGTTGGGGGAGGTGGGGTTCTGCTGCTGGGCAGGTCTTCGCGGGTTTCAGTGCTCCGTGAAGCTTCCGCTCGCAGGAACAATTGCAGCCGTTGCCTCGTAGTAAGAAACTTCCTACAGGTAGTGGGAAGAGATACCTCACTCTGACTCTGACCGCTCTGTTGTCGCCTGTTGCCAGACATGGACAAAGAGGATGCGCTGATCTGTTTCGAGGAGCACATCAGGGCGCTGGAAAAAGAGGAGGAAGAAGAGAAACAGAAAAGTTTGCTCAGAGAAAGGCGGCGGCAGCGTAAAAACAGAGAATCTTTCCAGGTTGGTGGACTCCCTTTTCCTGCCCTAGACGTGTCGTGTGGTTAGAAGTTGGGGGGGGTGTTTTATGGCTCCGGTGGGCCGAGGGGGCTGCCATGCGTCGGTTATCGGCCTTGGAGCTCTGTCTGCTCTGCGATACCTCCATCTGCTGGGACATTGCAGGAGTAGGGGAAAGTAAGGGGAAAGAGAGCTGAATGGAAAGGAAATGCAGGAAGAAATGATGTGAAAAATGATTTTTTTTCAATAGTATTTTAACAAAAATGGAATTGCGGATATCGAGAGAATCCATTCCAGCTGTCGGCCAAGTGGAAGTGTGAGCAGTGACCACAAACTTGGGTTTTGCTTCTGTTTTGTAGCTATTTTTAGACGAACTGCACGAGCATGGACAATTACACTCCATGTCCTCTTGGATGGAGCTGTACCCGACCATAAGCTCTGACATCAGGTTCACCAACATGCTGGGTCAGCCCGGTAAGGATACCGCCCCTTCCAGCCCTGGAGAGAGCAAGGTTAAGGGGCTTGGATTTGGGGCAGAACGGAGCAGGGTTATTTGTATATTTTCTAAGTGTCTAAAAAAATGCAGCTCTTTTATTAGAGCTAGCTTTTGACTTATCTAGTTTTTTCGTCAGGATCAACAGCACTTGATCTTTTCAAGTTCTATGTTGAAGACTTGAAAGCACGTTACCATGATGAAAAGAAGATAATAAAAGATATCTTAAAGGTAAGAGGGGAAGATGCTCCCTTTTGTGGCTGCTGCTTTTAATTGATGCCGAGTGTATCAGTCAAGTGAGCTCTTTGCTGCCGGGAGATGGGGCTTCACGCTGCCTTACTGTCGCGTGCAGCAGCACTGCAGTGAGGTTCCTGACTTCCCTGATGCCAAAGGAGCCGTTTTCTTACAGGACAAAGGATTTGTGGTTGAAGTGAACACTTCTTTTGAAGATTTTGTTACGGTCATCAGCTCAACTAAAAGAGCCACTACTTTAGATGCAGGAAATATCAAGCTGGCGTTCAACAGCGTAAGTACTTACATATAGCAATGTTTGAAAATTTGCCGTATGAAATCTCGTGTGAAAAGCAAAAATGGGCCCGTATTTTCACTGTGCTGCTGTGACTGCTTTTGTGGTACTTGGGAGAGGTGCTGGGCTTTCGAGATGCTTATCCTGGTATCAGTTCCTAAAACACAGCCTGCAGAGGTCTGTCCTCTAAAGCATAAACGTTTTACCTTGAGAAATTCTGTGGTGGGAACAAAGTAACGTTCTCTCCTTTATACATAACGTTTCTCATGAGGGATTTTTGTTTGCATGTGTTTCTGTGGCTTTGGCTTGTGTGAGGTATTAACTGCAGCTTAGATGCTGTTTGAGGAAGAGCAGTTACATGCTTTGAAAAGAAGAAATTGGTTAACTTCCCTGTACGCCCAAGCGGCCAGTAGAAAGCTGTAGAAGTGAATCGTCGCTGAGCTTTCCAAAAATCCCATTAAACTCAATTATTAGTCCTCTACTTGGTTACCTTTCAAGTGACGTTGTGAATCTTGCTTGCTATAGCTGCTGGAAAAGGCAGAGGCCCGTGAAAGAGAGCGGGAAAAAGAAGAAGCTCGCAAAATGAAGCGGAAGGAGTCCGCCTTCAAGAGCATGTTGAAGCAAGCGACCCCGCCGATCGAACTGGACGCCGTCTGGGAGGACGTACGTATCGCCGCTCCGCCGTGCAAGGCTCTCCCAGTCTGTCCAGCAGGCGGCTGCACGCTAGCGCTGTCAGAAAAACACCTCTGTTCTCCAAGCTCTTGGTGCTCCTAAGTTTATACAGCTTAGACCCGTAAACATTGTCCTGTCACTTCGTCAGTAAAATGTGACGTTTGCTGTGAATGAATTCCTCCTGCTTGAAAGCGATTTAAACCAAGAGGGCTTTAGACCCAACCCCCAAAAGAGGGCCTTAGACCCAACCCCCAAAAGAGGGCCTTAGACCCAACCCCCAAAAGAGGGCCTTAGACCCAACCCCCAAAAGAGGGCCTTAGACCCAACCCCCAAAAGAGGGCCTTAGACCCAACCCCCAAAAGAGGGCCTTAGACCCAACCCCCAAAAGAGGGCCTTAGACCCAACCCCCAAAAGAGGGCCTTAGACCCAACCCCCAAAAGAGGGCCTTAGACCCAACCCCCAAAAGAGGGCCTTAGACCCAACCCCCAAAAGAGGGCCTTAGACCCAACCCCCAAAAGAGGGCCTTAGACCCAACCCCCAAAAGAGGGCCTTAGACCCAACCCCCAAAAGAGGGCCTTAGACCCAACCCCCAAAAGAGGGCCTTAGACCCAACCCCCAAAAGAGGGCCTTAGACCCAACCCCCAAAAGAGGGCCTTAGACCCAACCCCCAAAAGAGGGCCTTAGACCCAACCCCCAAAAGAGGGCCTTAGACCCAACCCCCAAAAGAGGGCCATAGACCCGCCACCACTCCCCAAAAAACAATCCCACAAAGCCCCCAAACTGAATTTAAAGGGAGGTGAAGCACTCTGCTTAAGCTAAAAGCCTGCAACTTTGTTCTGCTTAAGATACCCCTTAAAAAAACCCCTCACCCTTTCCTCTCCCAGTACCCCCAGTACGCGGATGGATGCTGGCATGGCGGGCGCAGGAAGGCGCGGCCTGGCTCCTCGTCCCTCCCTCCGGCTGGGTTTTGCCGGGGGCTGCGCAGCTGGCGTAAAAAAGTTCAGCCTTGCAAGGGCGCAGCGGCTTCGTCAGCCCGTGAAAACCCCTCTTTTCCCTTTTTTTTCCTCTTGCTGTCTGTATTTCTGCCCCGCTGTGTTTGGTACCAGTTTGTCACTGGTGTCTTTACTGCAGATCAGAGACCGGTTCGTGAAGGAACCAGCATTTGAAGACATCACTCTGGAGTCCGAAAGAAAGAGGATATTTAAAGACTTCATGCATGTACTAGAGGTAAGTGCTGCTTTATTTCTTCCTGATGAGAGAATGTACCAAACAGCCTCAGCTGGGTGGCTCTTAAATTGTGCGGGAAGGGAGAGGGATTTAACAGAATTCTGCTGATTTCTGTTGCATTGTGTTACCTGAAAGTAAAACCACATCTAGAGAGTGAGGAGCTGAAGAAACAGGTCACAGTTATTGGGAGTTACTTGAGACGTAGTTTTTCTTCTAATCTGCTTTCCCACAAGAATTTTCAGAAGTTTACTCTAGATCAAAATTTCCTCATTTATTTTGGAAAAAACCTGTTTCTCGCTGCAATTTCCTGGAAGACGTGATGAAATGAGAAATACAACTTCTGCAGCGTTTTATTCGCTGGAGGTCTGGGACTTGAGGAGCATACTAAGCTCTGCAGATGCAGCTTCGGGTTGTTTAGTATTGCTGCAGCCAGGGTTTTGCCGACGTGCAGAAGGGGTGACGTCGTGCAGTCTCGCTCTTAACTTTGGGAATGGCTGGAGAAGCTTTGACACGTCACTCGTGTTGAATAAGGTGCCGGTTTCTCCTCGATAAAGTGAGATTCGATTTGCAGCCCACGCTTTTTGGGGCTTTTGTTTCATTTTCTGAGGTTTGTAAGCGAACGTAAAACGGCTTAGTGTCAGCGTTGGAAGGTTGGCCCAGCGAGGGGCGCAGCTCGTTCCGCTCCATCGTGAGCGGGGGCTTTAGTGGGAAGCACCGAAACGGGGATCCGGGTGGTAGCAGCTGTGTGCATCCCCCCCTAAAGCTGTCTGCTTCGCGGTGCTCCTTGTTGCAGCTTCAGCGTGGCGGTACTGGCAGCTTTCCGTGGGTTTTGGCACAATAAACGCTTGATTCTTAGTATTTTTTTTAACAACTGCAAGCTGTAGGTGCCTTGTGGGTGACGAGGAACGCGCTCAGTTTCTCGCTGCGTCCTGTAGGCCCGTTGTGACCTTTCCCTTCTCTTGCCCTCTAGCACGAGTGTCAGCATCACCACTCAAAGAACAAGAAGCACTCTAAAAAGTCCAAAAAGCACCACAGGAAGCGCTCCCGCTCTCGCTCGGTAAGGTGCTTCGTGCCGCCTTCAGGTTCTGTCGCTGTAGCCGCTTTGTCGCCCTGTTAACGGCGTCGGTTTTGTCCCTCAAGGGCTCCGAGTCGGAGGACGACGACAGCCACTCGAAGAAGAAACGGCAGCGGTCAGAGTCCCGGTCGGTCTCGGAGCGTTCGTCCAGTGCGGAATCCGGTACGGGATCTGTCTTGGTCTTGAATCCGTGTTACTGCTTTATCGCTGCGGCTGCATCGTTTTCCGTAATTTCATTGACTTTTTCTTCAAATGTCTGCAGAGAGGAGTTACAAGAAGTCAAAAAAACACAAGAAAAAGAGCAAGAAGAGAAGACACAAGTCTGTAAGTGCGGCTCCCTTCGAGCTGGCCCACTCGCCGCCTCGCGCTTTCCCCCGTCCTGTTGGGGGGTCCCTGTGACCTGACCGTGCAGCCGCCCTTGCAGCAGGGACGGGGGCAGCTCAGGCTGGAGGGGGGGGTACTGGTGACATAAAGA